TTTACACAGAATTTAAGTATAAATCTCCAAAATTAAACATGGTGTCTTATTCAGATAATAGTATCATCATCTCCTTTTAATGACCCCATAATCCCTTGCGGGTTGGAGTCTGAATGGAGCTGAGTGTTTACTGGTCGGATGCCCTTCCTGTCACCAATGCAGAATTTTATTCAGCAGATATATTCTCTTTGTGCCCAGAGAGAAATGCCTGCCTCTACCTAGGATCAAACCCACAGCTACCTGATTGTGAGGCAAGAGCTATATCTCTAGGCCACCGCACCATTATTACGTTAACATTATTACATTAACTTTTATTTACTGTTTTTTGTTTCATTCATTCATTCAAAGTTGCTATTTTGTAAGATGGGCTGCTATATAAATTGGTTTAATAAATCAATAAATTTATATCACATGGAAGGATATTTCCCTCCTAAATTACATTAATTCAGAATATTTTCCATAATTTGTTTTTCTACTATCACTTATTAATCATTATATTGTCCAGTCATGTTTGACTTTAGGGATGGCACTCATCTCCAGCCACCATTGTCTGAAGATACTTTGATGATCATGTGGCCAGTATGGTATATGCCAAGGTGCACAGAACACTGTTACCTTCCTACCAAAGTGATACCTATTTATCTACTGTCACGTGCATGCTTTTGAATGGCTAGGTGGATAGGAGCTGTGGTGTTCGAGTCTCAAACCTGGTCTGTCCATTTTCCAGCTGAAAGCTCAGTGTCTTTAACTGCTGAGCCTTAGCACCTTCTTATATTATACATTATTCAAAGAAAACAAGCAGCTATCACCAACCTATAGTTTTCTACCTTCATATCCATCTCAATAACCTACTTCTTATTATTCTGAGATGACACCTTAACTCTTTCAGTTTCATTTAATATTGCAGAAGTTGTATGTTTAAAGGTACCAAGCACCTTCGTGCAGTTGAAGATGCTTAGTACAAAATGACATAAATTACTACTCTCAGTGGTAGGATTCAATTTTTTTACTACTGTTTCTGTGGGCGTGACTTGGTGGGCGTGGCATGGCTTGGCCATGGCTTGGTAGGCGTGGCAGAGGAAGGATACTGCAAAATCCCCATTCCTTCCATACCCCACCCCACTAACCTGCTTTCCAGCTCCGTTCTCCTGTGCAGAGCAACAAAAGAAGACCCAGCCGATCAGTTGGGATTCGAGAGGCAGAGAATAGATGGGGGCGGGGCAGTCAGAGGTGGCATTTCCAGGTGTCTGGTAGGCAGGAGGCATCATCCCATTTATTCATGTTATGGGGGTGTTTCTCTATTTGAATAAACGGGACGATGCCTCCCACCTACCAGACATCTGGAAACTAGCCCTTATCAACAAACGAGTCCCAGCCATGAAAACCAACACCGGACCCAAAACAACACACCATTCTCCCTCACCAGACTCAAACCCAAAACCATCCCATAGACTAAAGACAACCATCCAGAAACCAGACCATGGCTGCATCACCAGCTGCCACACATCCCGACCCCCAAACCAAGCAAACGGATACATGCCATGAACACATATCCAGGCCTCAAACTCGGAGCCAAACCAAAACCCAGAATGTCACATCACAGCCACCTGCTCAGGATATCACATCACAGAACTCAGGAGGTTACACCACAAAACCTCAGGATATTGCAACACAGCCAACGACCCAGGAGATTACAGCACAAGACCCAGGATGCCACAACAATAGAACTCAGAAGGTCATCACACAGCCCATTACCCAGGTCATTACAACTCAGGAGGCTGATAGATACACAGCCAATACCTCAGCAGCACATGTTCTTATGAAAAAGCCAGCCAATCAAACATCAACTCCATCAACCAATCAAGAAATGACAACACAGCCAACCTCCCCACCAGTATATATAGGGAGACGGCAGCTCTGATCACGCTTTGCTCGCACAAGCACGAAGCCGAAAGCACCAGCCTGAAGATGGCAAGTGGGACCTCGTCAAAAGTTTGCCAAGATGCTCTCAATCCTACACTGGAAAAGACCTGAACACGCCAAGACCTGCATACCTGTACCCGTAAAAATCTACAAATGTATGTATGTATGTATGTATGTATGTATGGTCTAGGTACTATAGGTATCATTTCTAAAATGAATGAATGAATCAATGTGCACCTGAAAATGACCAGTAATAATTGAAAGATTCACTAGTTCATTGTATGAGAACAGAAAGGAGAATATAGGCTGTCTGTGCACACCTGTTGCACCTAAATATTCATCATGGAAATATTGAAAAGTCTCCATAGCAATCAGCCTTTGATAGCAATGACGTAGAACATGGCATAAAACCACAGGGATGTTGCTTTCTAAAATGTGCACATCTTAATCTCCTGTGAGATACTAGATGCATTTCACACACATTCTCTACATACCCACAACCACACCCAGATACCTCCCCCCCACGCCCAAACACACTGTGTGAGGTAATATAAATTACATGCTGGAATGTGTTTTTATAATCTAATTGGATGCAGCATTGAAATCTTATTCTGTATTGCATATGTTTGTTGCTGGTGGTAAATAGGTATAAATAGCAATAAAATAACTATTTCAACTCTATTTAACTTGCAAGAAATTATGAACGCTGGCATACTAGCAGGATAGCAGAGTAATAGCAAGCAGAAATGTAATCACTCTGAATATTAATAGTGGATTGTTTGCCTAATAAAAGGTTATGTTTTCCCCCCAAAACTTTGTGTTGCATGTTTATGTGATTCTATTGACTATCTGCCCATATGCAGATTCCACGTTCAAGTTATTTTAGCCACAGCAGATATTGTTGAATTGCACTTCCCTTTAGCCTGGTCATTATGGTCTGTGCTGAAGAATTATGGAAGTTATAGTTCAACTTTAGGAAGGGTTAGGGTTACAGAGAAGCAATATAAACAATAGAGAAATCCAGGTTCAAAGTCCCTCAAGCATTAAGTTTATATAATTTATTTTACAGGGTTGTGATACTATCATACAAAGATACTTTCAGATCTTTGGAGGAAGGACAGTGTAATATTTAGTATTGACATATGTTC